AGAAGATAATTGTATTTCATTAAGTGTAAATTTTGTAACATTTTTGTTGGGAAAAATAAAATTGTTGGGAAACATTAGATTAGAGCAGAAAGAAACAATGTCATTTTTTGTAAGTGTTAACATGTGAATAATGTGCATTTGAATTCAATATAATTAACTTCACAATTTTCAAATATTTTGGTTAATATGTTAATTTGAGCAGCACTGTTATTAAACACAACTTTTAATGGATTTTATCTCTAAAAAGACCAAATCTGTTGCATGTTGTCTCCCGGCAGCTGGGATATTGGAGAGTGGTCAGAGTGCAGTAAAACCTGTGGCCTGGGAATGCAGCACCGACAGGTCCTGTGTCGGCAGGTTTACGCTAACCGCACACTCAATGTCCACACGAGCCACTGCCGACACCTGGAGAAGCCAGAAACCGCCAGCACCTGCCAGCTGAAGATCTGCAGCGAGTGGCAGATCCGCACGGACTGGAGCGCCGTGAGTATCAGTTCCAAGTTCAGTTCCATGATGGAGATTTGTACTCCGTCAGCCTTAAAAGTTTTTTTTCCTGACCTTTTGCAGCACAATAGTCATCATTTGACCTGTGTCTCTTTAGTGCTCTGTGCCATGTGGGCTAGGTCAGAGGTCAAGAGAGGTACGCTGTGTCAGCAACGTGGGTGACTTTGTCCCAGATGAGGAGTGCAACATGAGTCTGCGGCCCACGGATGTGGAGAACTGTGACATGGGGGCATGTGCCAAGAGCTGGTTTTACACTGAGTGGGGCAACAGGGTAAGTGTTGAACTCAATAAGAAAAAAAAACAGGAAGTCTTCATGAGTAGTAGTGAAAAATACATTTTTAATTTTTAAAACAATTTAAAAAAGAATGTTGATAATACAATTGTTCTATGTAAATATCAAAAACACATATGTATAAATCAAACGAAGTACTCGTACCTGTGCGTATTTTCCACGTTACAAGCCTAGAGGCTGAAAAATATAACAAGGTATTTACTTTTGTGTCTCAGTGTTCTGCTGAATGTGGGTTAGGTGTACGGACGAGGGGGGTCCTCTGTTTGACCAATCACATCAGCAGCCTACCTCTGGAGGGGTGTGGCAGTGAGCGGCCCACCGATTCTCAGGCCTGCAACAACGGCCCATGTGAAAATCGCATCGAGTGGTTCACTGGACCCTGGAGTCAGGTACGCCCAGGACAGGAAGTCGGACCGAGGTGGACTGGTCTGCCAAAAGTTTGTCTCCAAGTCTGCACCAATGGATGGCGCTCTTGTCATGTTTTCATTTAACATTATTCTGTGTAAACCGTTGTGTGTGTGACGCAGTGCTCAGCAGAGTGTGGTGCGGGCAGCCAGCAGAGGGCAGTGGTGTGTCTGATGAGGTCCGATGAAGGATTCACCGTCATGCCACCGTACGAGTGCTCGTCACTGGAGCGGCCCCTCAGTCAGCAGAGTTGTAACCTCAAGGCCTGTGGAGCAAAGTGGTACTACACTGAATGGAGTGCCGTGAGTAACGTCCGACATTAGGGTTGTCTTAAATAATACAATTCTAACCAGGAACCAAACTAAATGTTTCTAAATCTGTTATGATTTTTACATTTACAAATATGTACATTATTAGATTGTGTATTAAAGTATTTTTTTAGTTATACTTTTCTGTCAACAATAATGATAAAGACATACAGTGTATTTATTCTGACCTGTGTTTTTCCAGTGCTCAAAGACGTGTGAAGGAGGATTCCGAGTTCGAGAGGTTCGATGTCTGTCAGATGACATGCTGTCCAGCAACGACTGTGACGAGCTGCTGCGCCCTACGGACAAGGAGGACTGTAACCCCGAGCCCTGCGTACCTCAAATAGGTGGGAAAAAGTGTTAGCCAACGTGTATCCATCTGTGCTCACCTGTAGGGGCAGTAGAGTGCTCACACTGGGTTATCTCTTGAACAAGCATTAAACAAACTTTGTCTAAAGAACTTTTTTTTTGTCTTAGATGAGAACTGCAAGGACAAGTACTACAACTGTAACGTGGTGGTTCAAGCTCGCCTCTGCGTCTACGATTACTACAAGACGACGTGCTGCGCTTCGTGCTTACGCGTGGCCCACAGACAGTCCATCCATCGCGGCCGCAGCTAGCACCTCCCTAACGTCATGTTGGACTGTACCCAGTGCAGGCGCTCTAGTCCTAAGCAAGACACAGGAGTGGACCGGCTAAACTTTAGCTAAAAGGGGGATATTAGTTATGTTGCTAAAGATGGAAGCTAAGAGAAAAATCTGGCTCAGTTTGAGTCAATTGCTGAGGAAAGGAAGTGAGCAGACAACCAGAGATGTGATTGGACGAATGACGCCGGGAGCAAAACAGAGAAGACGGAAAGACAGGAAAATGGATTAATGAGAATAAGAAAGAACTGTTTTCTGCTGTTGTTTTGATGACGGCAGTTTGCAGCTGAAAAGGCGAATCGAAGTGGACTATCGATGAAGAGGAGGGCGCGTTGATACGTGGACTTTTTTATAAGCTCTCATGCGACTCTTTACTAAGCTCAGATTCATGGCTGATGACATATGACGTTGGTCCAGTGTTTACTATAATCAACTATTTAACTCACACTTTGTCGACCAAAGATATGTCATCTGCTCACTGTGTCTCCGACTCTCCGTGGTGCTGATCCTGTTTGTCTGAAACACAAGGAAAATGAGGGAATTCCAAATGCTTTGTGTTCCAGACATGGAGTTCTGCCTTTGTAATATGTTTGTATATAGAACGTGTGTATGGATTACAAATTAAATAGTAAAAGTCTTTTTTTATAAGGAGTGTCAGACAGTCCTGATAGAAACTGAAGAAAAACAAATGTTTTATTTATTTGTGTTGTTGTTGTTCAAGGGGGGGAATAATGGTTCCAGGACTAGAACCAGGTCCACCTCGGCCTTAAGGATTAGACTTTTGTAAGATTGTTTTTTTTTTTTTAAAAACTGAATACAGTCTCTAGAGTCAGTAGGCATTCCACAGTCTGTCTGGAAACAGAAGCAGGTGACAATCCTCAAAGCATGATGGAACAGTACAAAACTACAACGGAATATTATGGCCACATTGAGAAAGTAAATAAATAGTTAAATGAATAAATAACTTAAATTACAAGGAGGTTAACATTATGTTATGAGAAAAAAGTTGTAAATTTAAGAGAAAAAAAATTGTAATTTAATTTTTAACATTTTTTCTATGTGGCCCTAATACTCTGCTGTGCAAAACAGACTGTATATATATATAAATGTATATATATATACAAACATATATATATATATATATATTTGTTTGTATATATTTACAGTAATGTACAAAAGTTTGGGCCAGTTTTATATAATTGTTGTAACATTTTTACCAGCTTGCACAATGTGGGCACAAATTTAAAAACGTTTCACCATACAAACATATATATATACAAACATATGTTTGTGTATATATATATATACAAACACACCACCAGCTCCATGTCTTATAGGAACACTTGTACAAAGTCAGGGATTTTGTAGGTTAATAATCAGGTGTGTAATTAACCACTAGGATCAAACTGGTGCTAACAATCTCCATTTTTTATATATTACACGATGAGCTGGCTTAATGTAATGCTGACAGACAAGAAGGAAATACAAAATCATGCAACGGAGTCGAGTAAAAAAAAACCAAAAAATTACGAGAATAAAGTTTTACATTTATGAGAATAATGTCATGAATTGATGTCATAATAATATATATAACAATACTATAGTTGACAATAGTAACTTCAGAAGCTGCTTCACGTTTCTCATTCAGACGCATTTAACCTTAACGCCGTGTGCTTTTCTCTCGTCTCCCCAAAACACATCATCCAAATTTACGACTTTAATCTCCAAACGTTACGACTTTAATCTCGTAATTTTATTTTTCCTTCTCAATGTGGCCGTAAATCTACGTTGTGAGATGCGTTTACTACATTTTGTAAAAACAACAGTGCGGGCTCCGCTATCCACTCGTCAAATTCACGTCGATTGAAAGATAACCATTGGTTCAAAGTTAGGGAAGTCAGCAAAACAGAAGTACAGAGCATGATTTTAAATCAATAAACCAACCAATGACGACGTTCCATTTACACAACAACAACAACAACAACAACAACAACAACAAACACCCAGTACCTCTCTGCACACATCCAGGTTTTGTTGCATCATTTCCTTCAGACTCTATAATTTTACCTCGTATCTATTAGTACTGTATGTTGAGGTTGGGGCGACTCAGCCTTCATGGGACATGAATACAAAACCCAAAGGAACAAAAGCAGCAGCAGCATCATCTTTGGGTGTTAAGACATTTTTTTTCAGCAGTGGAGTCTTGTCTATAATTCTTGAGTTTGTATGAAATAAATATATCTACTAACTTTTCATTGATTTATCACTTCTTAAATCTATCCAGTGGGAGGCAGTAATGCACACGATTCAGATCTGCCGGTAAAACTCAAGGAAGTACGTAACAAAACCAAAGGTGTTAGCAGAGGTTAGCTTAGTCTAGCGAGAAATACACAGAATTAATCTTTCCATGACATGCTACCTGTTAGCATGTTGCTGTCACACACACGTATACTGACAATTACACTGGCAATTGGTGGAACGGGGTTTTCAAAATGTCTACTCTGCACAACCTACACACAAGGGGACGGAAGCTACAGGCACAACGCCGACCAAATAACACAACAGAGGTTTTGGAACCAAAAAACAAGTACAACTGCTTGATTAAATTACAGTCGGAATGAAATTAATCAGCGACAATCACACATGATGTGCAACTAATTGATCCCGATACATTTCTGACTAGTTCCCTCACAGGACCCAACACTGTTCATTAAAATGTGTTCATTTCTGGCTACGCGCCTGCGGGGAGTCTGTGCTGCTGTCCGTGCCCAGGGATTTAAACTAATGGATGACTAATAAGAGTGAAACCAGAAAACTAATGTGTGCAGCAGCGCTTGGTCTCCAGAACATCAATAATCTGCATTAAAGATGTTGGAATAATTCTAGGACCGGAACCGGCGATAGATCAGACCAGACAGTTAGCAGAACTTTTTTTCTACGTGCACAGAGCAGAATAAAGGTCACTGTGGTTACCTGGCCTCTTTGTAATAACTGCTCTGACTGGAAAGACGATCCCTAAGGTCATAAAACATTCGTTTTTGGCTTTTCAAATTGATGATTGAGTTAATTAGTGTGACCTACTCTTCAGTCCAGGCAATCTGGGAACAGGGAAACTGGGTTACTGGCTCTGTAACAGTCAACTTGGTTTTTCTAGGTTCCCAAGGAGGGAAAAGTTGGAAGTGAAAGTGGAACCAAAACAATGAGCAACAACATTACAGAAGAATTCTATAACGGACGGCAAGAGAAAATACGCTGGAACAGGTTTTTAGAAGTAACTCGCGTGAACATCGTCTGAGTCATTTTAACATTTGAACTGGATTTACTTACCCCCTCGATCGTTGTTGTTGCCCGGTCACCTCCAACTGTTAAAGCCGTGTAATGTTCTGTGTCAGG